GTGTGTTTGACCGGAAATTCATAGCTCGAGTCACAGTAACGATAGCGCAGTGGTTCTTACATATGTTATAGGGGGTGGGATGGGGACACAAGTGGTACGTGATAGGAACTGATAACGACTGATAATAGCTGATAAGAGGGGCTAGAAAGCGAGCATCGCCAATTTCGTTTTGTCGTTCATATTGGTACTAGAGCGTCTATACTTACAAGTGTTATGTGGGGTGGTCCCGGGACATTGGTGGTACATGAATGGAAGCGATAGCAACTGATAAGGGCTGATAAGATGTTAGAACGCAAAAGTCGTCGATTCCGTTACCTGGCTCGCATTGACACCAGAGCAACCATACTTACAAGTGTTATGTGGGGTGGGACGGGGACATTGTTGATGGGTGATAGAAAGTGGTTACAACTGATAAGGGCTGATAAAAGGCGCTAGAACGCAAGTGTCGCGAAATTCATAGCGCGGGTACCAGAAGTCGTCAGGAGTTGATTTCAAGATATGATACAGGGGGTGGGACGGGAACATACTGGGTGGGGGACAAAAAGCGATAGCACCTGATAAGGGCTGATAAGATTGATCACGTTGAAAAATGAAGAGCCGTTAAAGTTGTTATCTAGATGGCGACAAAAAATACCATTTAGTTTGCGATTTCGTCGTTACCATCGAGATTGCTTAGACCGCTAATCTTTCCGAGCTTTCTGGGATGGTCGGTGTTTGTGCATAATGAGTGTTGGTGCTTCTCTTTCAATGCCATAGACGTAAGAATGGACGTAAGAATTGCAACCGCTAGAATATCTCAACATCCAAAGCATGATAGTTGTTCATGCAAAGTCCTGATAGCGTAAACAACTATCGTGCAACTTCAACAAAGGTATTAGTTATCTGAGCTTATTCGGCCGCTAGACCATGTTAGTTTCCGAAAAATGATGGATGTTTGTGGGATTGACGAACTACGGTAAATAATTGCTTTATCACCAGCAGTATAGTCACCTTCAATGATAAGATCACTCAGATTCATCAAAAGCATGAGTACTGTTCAACAGAAGAGCCCGGCTGTGCTCATTTTTCTTACCGCCTATGTACTTTGACATGCGCGCGGTAGCGAGCGGAGCCAAACTCATTAAACCGCTCAACTTTAGGATTTGCGAAGAGTGTGAATGTAAAGCAAAGATAAGCATCAGATCTCACTTTTATAAGGAGCATATTTCATTTTCATTCTAAGGCTAATAGCAAAACCCTAATCACCGCTAATTGTCAGGATTCAAGAAAAATGCTAGGTGTTTACGAGTTGTGATAAATATACCGACTCAGCTTCGCATTCACGCGCATGTATGATGGACTTCAATGAAAGTGACGATCCTCCAACCTCAGGTCACTCCACTGACATATCCAATAGTGAGCTGCTTTGTGGAGTAGATCACCAGATGTTCCTTAAGTCCTCCAGTTTCGCAAAAGCCTACCGTGTTATGCGCGCGATAGCGGGCGGAGCAAAACTGGTGTTGCTATAAATGAGCGAAAATGCGGTCTCCTGGGACCGTATGGCCCGCCAGCGGGCCACATGCGTGTCTGGCGTGCAGTCCCGGACGCCAGACACGTTTAGAGCATGCAGTCGTCAAAGGGTTAAAAGGAGTTTTACGACCTGGCGGCGAAGCACGCGCACCGACTGACTGACCACTTGGTGGGTGTGGTCGTTTAGCAGAAAGAGCTTTAGCGTTGAAGAGGGCGTCATCAATGAGAGTCGCATCAATGCGGAATCAGTGGACAAGGAAGTGGTCCCATTCCTCAGGTTCTGAGCCATTTCTTAGATTTTTCTTCATCTTGGCATCATGAAAACTCCTACATTAATTCTGATGGGCTGCTTTCAATCATGGGCCCCGCCTCTGAATGCCGCGGGAGAACTATGGGAGCGTTTCTAACTGTAGCATGCCAAAATGATTCTTTTGATACCAGTTTGAATTCAGTGTACTGATACGAGTGCTGTGTTGATAAGCAAGAACATGTGATTGCTGAAGCGTCGCAGCTTATTTTCTATATCATTACCATTGGGAGTGGTGAGCTTGTATGGAATCAGCAATCGCACAAGTGGCTGAAGGGAATGCGGTGAGAATCAACCTCCGCCTACTTAGATACTGAAGCCTAAACCTTTATGAGGCACACTTGTCATATAGCGGTGATACGCGAAACATTTGTTCAGCATCTAAAGAGGAAAAAGCGACTCCTCGTATTCCCCTTAGAATTTCGTCAGCTCACCTATTACAGACGGCCACATATGTACGCTTATTGTGCTGGAAGTAGAGATGCGGAGTGCACCCTTGTGGGACACAAAGGAAGGGAAACCGTTTTGAAGCTCGAAATTAGTTATCTCTACCGAAGGATGGTTGGTACACAACGGAGAAATCTGGGCGTCGGGGTGAAATTACGGCTAGAAATAAGGGAGCTCGAACCTTGCTTTTAGTAATAGAATTGCCGACCACCATAAGCTCTGTTACGCTCTCAGTCGGATCAGAACATGAATAGTGAGGAACTTGCAGGAGTGACATTTGTTCTGCAGCAGCCTAATATTAAAAAAACTTGCGCAGAAATAGAAGACGCACTGGGCAAGATGAATTCTTCACATTCTATGAGGGTGTTCCTTCTTGTTCTTGTATTGTTGAGGTTGAGTTTAACCCTTTATAATACTCCTCGCGGTGGTTTAGTGGTATGATGTTGTGAAGACGGAGAGTGAGTAAACAGGGAGACATCCACCAACACTTCCATAGCGTGAGCGTGAAAGTAAGATGTGCGGTATCTCTGTTTGCTTGTACGGTATACGCCCGATACTGAAGACCTTGGATTTCTCTTTACGTAGAGAATCTGCTACGTGTATTGAAGGAGTACTACAGTGTACAGGACTTCGCACCTCGCGGTGGTTCAGTGATAAGGTGCTGTTGAGTTAGAAAGTATGTGTAAAAGAGTGAAATCTAGCAACATCCCCTACTTTGAGGTAGTGAGGAACTCATCACCAGCGATACGCAGACGATCATAAAGCTATAGATAGAGTTTTTAGGTCCTCGAGATCAAAATCCATGACAAGTGAATGCTTCGCGGAAGAAAGGAAGTCTGTAAATTAACTGGTGGAGGGAAATGGGATAAAAATGAAATAGTTTCCTACTGTATGGGACCATATTTCTGGTCACCTACGGTGTTTACAATGTTTACCAAAATTTGGTCCCATACAATTCTAGAAAACGACTAAGCTTGTATTGAAAATCAAAATTCGACGCTGTCAAAATATATGGGGGCCACTTGGGTTTAAAGTAGATGGAGGCAGGAATTCCGGGGGGAATGAAAATGGCTGACGCACCTGGAAGTGTCTCCTCCTCCGCTTGGCGCTTACCACTAGTCCCGTTTTTAATAAAAAAAACATGTTTCAAGTGATTTTAAATGCTTGCCACCAAAACGCCCCGTATTCTGCGAAAGTGCCTGAAAAGCATTTTTTGGCGGAGTAGCTTTGCCGCGTTAGTTTGAATCGCAGTGGAATCATAGCATGACTACACCTCGGATTGGTACTGCCAACTGACAAATGCCTTATCGTATTGACTACTTGCCCCAAGATGCAAGAAGTTATGACAAAATGTACTCAGATGGTCTATAATTTATGCAACAAATGACATTTAATGCTGAAAAGTTGGAGAAGTCCGAAAATTTGCAACATGCTTATTTACACAGCATCCACCATTGCTTCGCTGATCGTTATTGATATAACACCGATTTTGCGAGGGTCTCTTCGTGACCTTAATTTTCACGAATACTGCTTGGAATGCTCCACAAGTCAGGCCACACTGAAGACCAAGCAGATGGCGTTCAAAGGTAACCGACATCCTGGCCCCCTACGTTTTTCCATGGCGACATTTTACGTGAAGATTTTGAGGACGATTCCTGGCAAACTACTTGTTGTTAACACTGCGCGTACGATGTAGTAAAGACGACATTGAGCCATTCTTCATCTTTTCGTAATTTCGACTGGCTATCTAATTCAGTTCGGATATGAGAAGTGGATGCTATGGGTCAACAAGTCCTGCAAGCGGCAGTGGATCAGCCCCAGGAGAGACAGAAGTTCCGAGTGCTAAGTCCAATTCATTATAATTCAAGGAAGGTTCTTGCTGGTAGGACATGAGAGAAGTTGTGCACTGAAACTCCTACCTAGTAACGCCACAGTCGATGCTTAGGCGGATTGGTTGTCTCCCAAGCAATGGCATGTAGCAGAGGTAAACAAGACCGGGTCTATTTTCCTTGCACTAACGTTTGACCCCACATTTTGAACGAAACTCCGTCACAACTGAAGAAGCTTTGATGAGCAGTTCTTACACATTCACCCTATGGCCTTGACCTCGCACTACGGATTACCACCTCTTTCAATTCAATCTCTGGCCCACTTCCACAAAACGAAATCACACGCGAACAAAAATATTCTCAAAACGGACATTCAAATTTTCTTCGATCACAAACCTGTGGACTTCTACAGGGGAGACATTGAACAGCAGCTGCCCATACATTGGCAGTATGTTGTAAATTATGTTAACACATTCACGACGACGCCCCTTTTCCACTTTTCGGTCGCGTGGGACGGACGCGATTTTGTGGGCGCCGCCGCCTCACCACATAACCGCAGATTTTGTTTTGTAAATGAACAAAAACATGAATGTCACAAAATAATTTCTGCAATGTCCAATGCGTAAAGATTATCTAAACATATAACAGTAGGATTTCGATCAGAACGACAAATAGTGGTTACGAAAAGAGAGCATTTATTCACTTTCCCCGTGAAGGAATTTAAAAGCATTTTACACTCGATTACGAGGTTTGCCCACCTATCTGTCCATTCCTAGCGCCTGGCAAGCGATTATCAGTTGGCAGCCCATATGGGCTGCCATCGTCCCAGGAGCACATGTTGTTGGCAGCCCATATGGGCGGCCATCGGCGTGAATGTGTTAAATTGTATTAGTTGAGGGAATAAAGGTATGTGGAGATACATTCTTCGAAAACACGGAATTCAGAGCTATGACCTAGTTCAGGCTTCAAAATTAGGAGAAGAAGGAAAGGAAGTGACGGATGCCAAAAACATTGAGGACGTTAACAAGTTTACCACTGAAGCTAACGAAGAAGAAAAAGAAGGTGAAACACAAGCGGAACAGCAGAAAGAGAAGAACGGAAGTGATCAAAGAAATGTAGAAGGCGATGGCGGCGTACTCGCTCCTGAAGGATATCAACAGGAAGATCTCGAATTAAAACTGCCCGACACTAAAGTAAGTTTGGAAGGGCTGGTAAATGATGTGTTTGGATCAAAAAGATTTCATTTCATGATGACGGCGGCACCAATACCGCAAGGCTTGATGCTAACAGCCTGTTCGATCACGAACTCGAAAAAGCTCTAGCGGTAAGGAGAACTATTTCCAAACAACGCAAGCGCAGATAACGACAGTGAGACACTGAGGTAATTTAAGGACTTGGAGAAGGAAGACTGGTACCATGGTTACTTGCCAGTCGAGGACATAATTGGACTGTTGATACGAGATGGCGACTTTCTTTTGCGAGGACTTGAGCCGGAAGGAGAGCATACTGCATCGGTAAAAATTGAATCTCAAAAAGATTTATTTGCCTTCACTAGTTGCAGGAAGAAGTAAATTCTACAAAATAAAAACTTACAAAATAGCGAAAATTGTGGAAGTATGTAGTGGAATTCTATTTCACCTTTGGATAATCTCGCCACATTAGACACTGTTGAATTATTTAGCACCGTGTTGAATTTTTTGTGCCAATTCCAATTCTTGTGTATTCACCAGTCAAAACTTACGTGTATAAGATGAGGCGATCGCCTTCGCAAAATTTCGGGATCCCGAGAGGAAGCCCATCGTGCGGCAACAAGGAAGATTTGGCGGACGAGTCGCAGCGCGAACGGTAGTGATAAACAGGATGTACCATTGCAGGTTCTACATCACACGTCACGCGTTGTGGCTCGTCCGCTGACTCTGCCTTCTTGCCACGCGTGGGCCCCAGTCGGACGCCTCAACTCTTAGCCTGTTCTAGCGGCAAAAAGCCAAAACGAGCGATATTGTCAATGTATTAACCCATTCCGGAGCTGTCGTGGCGGGCATTTGTGGCCTTTGTATGCTCACTGCAGCATATATCGTACATCATACGTGACACTGTGTTTGCCGCTACGCGGCGAGTTAACGATCATATAATAAAAGTGAGACGGCCAGGAAAAGGGGTGCAAGAATGAAGTTTGCAAAGTAAGTTGTAATGGGAAGAAAGGGATCAGAAAGTGACCATAATGCTAAGATTCAATACCATCAGACAGAAGGCGCAAGATTTGATTCGCTAGGTTTGTGTGTCTGTGTATATGTGTGTGTGCATCCGTTTGCCACGAAATTCATAGTGCGCGTCCCAGCAGCAGTGGGGCGTTTGTTCCAAGAAGTGATGTAGAGAGTGGTACGGGAACATATTTGGTGAGGACAGAAAATGATAACAACCGATGAGAGCTGATAAGCTGAGGCGCTAGAACGCCAACTTTCACGAAATTAAATGTGGGTGTCCAGCAGCAGTGAGGCATTCTAAGAAGTAATGTACAGTGAGACGATAACATATTTGGTGGGACGTAACAAGTGATAATGCTGATAAACAGCGCTATTGAAGTTCGTTTCAATATCGTTTTATTTGCGCTGTCCTCAGCACAAATGACCATACGGCCGCTACAATCCCTAGTTCCTAAAAATGAATGGTGGATGTTTGAAGAAACTTGTGATGAGTATTGGTGTTCCCCTTTCAATATCATTAGCATCAAAGGCTATCGGTCGCCAATTATTCTAACACCAGATTGGTCCCCCGTCGACAGCCTGGGCCATCCTTTCCGAGGCCTACTTTTTGTCCGTTCTACAGGGTGCGGCAAAAGTTCTGGCAACGGTAAATATGCCCGTAAAAAACGGTCGAATCGATCGATACATGATACAACTTCAACAGCATTTATCAACAGCTATATAGATCACAAAAACAAACTAGATCTCGAAATAGCCTCCTTTTGCTCGAATACAGGCTGAAAGTCTCCTAGGAAACGCGTCGACGGCGGCACGGAGGTAGTCCTCGTCCAAATCCTCCCATGCTTTGACGAGGGTTGCACGTAGAGCATCCAAACTTCTATGCTGAGTAGAGCAGGCTTTTGTCTTAAGAAATGACCACACGGCGTAGTCCAATGGATTTAGGTCTGGACTGTTCGGGGGCCAATCGTTCGACGAGATGAAGTCTGGGAAGTGCGTTGCGCACCAGTCCTGTACCACCTTGGACCTGTGTGCTGGAGCTGAGTCCTGTTGATAAGTCCATGTCCGGTTGCCGAAATGGGATTTTGCCCAGGGGAGTACCTCCTTCTCCAACACGTCTTTTAAGTAGGTCTTACTATCCACCTTGACCCCTTTCTCCAAGAAAATCAGGGGCATCTTGCCGTCCGATGTGATTGCCCCAAAAACCATCAACGACTTGGGGTGTCCAGATCGCTGAGCAATCCCTCCATGTTGGCTGGCTTCTGCAGGGCTTCCCGCTATCACCCTATCGTTTTGGGTGTTCAGGAATTGATCTGTTGAAAACAGACATTCGTCAGTGAAAAGGATGTTGCTGTGCCGTGCCTGCGAAAATCGCTTTAAAAGCTCCTTACATCTTTCGAGCCTAGTTTTCTTCATACGCTCAGTTAGCATGTGAGCTTTTCTGATCTTATAAGAGCGAAGTCGAAGGTGGCTGGTGACAATCCTTCCAACAGATCGAGCAGAAATACCCACCTCAAGAGCCATTTTTCTCTCGGACCTACGAGGGTGGCGGCGGATTTTCTCTCGAATGATTTTCACGATCTCCTTTGTCGTTGCACTCTTCGGTCTTCCACTTCTAGGCTTGTCCTCCATAGTTCCTGTCGCCTTGTACCTGTTGACGTTGTTGTACACGGTTTCTTAAGGGAATCTGGAGCTGCTTGGAGATGGTCTTTGCAGTGCATCCAGCCAGATGGAGGTGCAGGATGGAGGCTCGTTGGTCTTTGCTTGTCACCATTCTGTAAAATGGCATATTTAAGAACGGCCAATTCATGGAATGTATAGAAGAAGACTTGCAGTAAATAGTGGCACAGATCCTGTCGAGATCGAAGGCCTCATTTCTTATGGAGGACCTGAAACGGGATTTTGCCAGATCTTTTGCCGCACCCTGTATTTGTGACACCACCATCTTACGGAGTTGACGCGTATACAACAAAAGGAGTTTCATGTAGTGGAAAGCATTGCCACACTCATGGCATGACGGTTGATTTTCTGCATCCCTTCCCCATTTTCCCTTCCACTTCCCTCCAGCTGCCTCTGCGGCACCATGTAGAATGACCGGAAGTGTGCTCAGTAGGTGTTTTTAGTGTTATTACACTGATCGTATTGCAAAACATTTATAGCTCAGTCCTGCGTGCTACTCATATTCGTTAGCGCATTTTATCAACCAGATTAGTCCCCCGTCAACCGCCGGGACCTTCCTTTCCTGCGCAAGCTTTCTATCCTCCGCTATGGTCCCTTCCTCCTGTGACACCAACACCTCCTGGAAGTGACGCGTATGCAACACAATGGTGTTTCATACAGTAGAAGGGACACAATCATGATATGACGGTAGATTTTTCGCTTCCCTTCCTCATCCTCCCTTCCTCTCTCCACTGCCCTCCAGCTGCCACTGCAGCACCATGTGGAATGAACGGAAGTGTGCTAAGCAGGTGTTTATATAGCCCTAAGAGTGTTATCACAACTATCCTGCTACAAAACATTGATATCTCAAATCCTGTAAGCTACCCGATTTGTTAGCGGTTTGTTTATCCCATGAGCTTCCTTCTCACTCACTTCATTTTGCGGACGGACACACATACATACATACATACATACATACATACATACATACATACATACATACATACATACATACATACATACATACATACATACATACATACATACATACATACATACATACATACATACATACATACATACATACATACATACATACATACATACATACATACATACATACATACATACATACATACATACACACAACATACAGACATACAAACCGACACACAAAGTTAGCGCTTTATAAAATAGAAGGATTCCATTCAGCTGCTTATCACTCACTTCACTTTGCGGACGGACAGACAGACATCTATCAGTGCACATCCGGTGCCACACCTACCCCACCTATCGGATATCGAGCATACATACTGGCATGCATACAAACCAACACACCAAATTAGCGGTTTATAAAATCGAAGTATTCGATGCATGATGGTTTTTCCAGACATCACTTTTGCTCCGTACTCCACCGCGCGTATCAAGCGGACAGCGAACAAAGGTCGTTCAGGGTGTGTCAAGATTTTTCAAAATGGTCTCTTGCATAACAATGGGGCACATGTTGGAACCGTAGATGGTTCAGTTTCTGAGCGACGACCCTCGAATACCAGAAAAGGGGTCCCTAGTTCGATTCCTCGTGGTGACAAATTTTTGCATTTCGAGTTGACGTTTCCAAAATTCGCGCAAAATGGAGTTAGCATGAATAATTAGTACCATATTCATGATTAGGACCGTCAGTAACCCTTACAAATAGACTTTGATTAAAAAACTGGTGAAAAAGGTGTGGCACCACAGTGGAACCGTTTGGGTGTCTCACCTTTTTTTTACCAGTGCATACATTTTAGGAACTGCTGGGAAGCATAGCGGTTTAGTGGTATTTCGGGCTGATGATAACAACGCAAATGAAAGAATATTGAAATGAAATGCTTTATCTAAAGTCTGGTTTTGAGTGACCTCTATATTCTTGCGCATATCGTTATTATCGGCCCTTATCAGCCGTTATCCCTTTCTTTTTTCCACCATATATATTCCAGTCCCACCCCCTATATCACTTCTTGAAACCAACGCTTCACTGATGCTGAGACGCGCGCTATGCATATCATGGAATTGGCATTTTGGCGCCTCTAATCGGACTTTATCAGTCGCTATCATTGAGTCCCTCCACCAAAGATGTTCCCGTCACACCCTTCATATCACCTCGTGGAACTAACGCCTCACTGATGCTGGGACGCGCGCTGTGGATCGTGGAATTGGCGTTTTGGCGCCTCTCATCGGATCTTATCAGTCTTTATCACTTTGAGTTCTCCATCAAAGGTATTCCCGTCCCAGCCTCTACAACATACTTGAAATACAGCGCTCCACTGTTGCAGCGAAGTGCGCTATGAATTTCGTGACAAATACACGCACACACATACACACGCACAGACATACTTAGCGAATTATATTTAGTAAGATAGCCATGATCTGCCACTTGACAGTTCTCGCGATCAATAACTGGAAGATCTGGGACTCTTAGGAAATCTGCTCAGGCCTTTCTTTTACCATCCCTGTACTGCTTACCGGTGGAGCTTAGCTCTCCAACGACTGCGCAGTTTCACCGAAGCCTTATTCTAGAGACTAGTTCAAGGTTGGAGTCTAGGTGTTTTCAAATATAGGTTATTATTATTTTAACATGATAGTAATCAACAAAACATTTTGTCGTAAAGCAGAATCCTTGGAAACATCAGCTATTGGAGTCCCTGCCACCTCATGGGTGGTTCATAACGGAT